TCTTGAGTTTCCCTTATTTTTAATTCATCCATTAGTGGTGGCTGTGCCTTCAGCAGTCTGGGCCCTGGGCTCTGCATTTCCCTCTCTACAACACTGTACTGCACTTTCAATTACCTTCAAGTCACCCCTTAAAAGTTTCCTCTTTGCGAAAATGTTTGGCCATCTGATCTAGTACCTTCTTATGTGGTCTTGTGTGTCATATACGAGATTGAAAAATTTTTAATCAGGAAGGGAATTAAGCATTATGGGAATAAGGCAGAAAAGTGGAGTTGAGGATTATCAAACCAGCCACGACTTTATTGAAGGGGCTGAATGGCCTACTTCTGCTCCTAAGACTTATGGTCTTATTTGGTTTTCTAATTCTCCTGTTAGGTGCCTTGGGATGTTTCATTGTATTTGAGGTGTTATAAAAGTATAAGTTATTGTTGCAAACACTTCCTTAATGATGGAGTTCATCATTTTCTTGCTGATTGATGTCAGGCTAACTGACATATTGGTCCGTTTACTTCTTTTTATATTCCTTGTACATTTCTTGGGCAGCATGGTGGCTCAGTGGTTAGCACTGCCGCCTCACAGCGCCAGGGACCCGGGTTCGATTCCACCCTCGGGCGACTGTCTGTGTGGAGTTTGCACATTCTTCCCGCGTCTGCATGGGTTTCCTCCCACTGTCCGAAGGTACGCAGGTGGATTGGCTGTGTTAAAATTGCCTGTAGTGTTCAGGGATGCGTAGATTAGGAGGGTTAAAGGGGGATGGGTCTGGGTGGTTTGCTCTGAGGGTCAGTGTGGACTTGTTGGGCCAAAGGGCCTGTTTCCACTCCATAGGGATTCTATGATTCTTCTCCAGCACTCTGGAGATTAACATTTGCCATCTTTCAATCCACTGGAACTGCTCTAGGAATCTAGGGAATTTTGGGAGATGCACCATGAAAACCTTTTGGTAACAGTATGGAAACTGATTTATTAATTAAACCAGCTAAAACCTTTGAGATCCTCATACTGTCCTGTCAACCAAACCTGGAGACACAAGTGATCGAATATTGCTCAAGGGTAAGTGGAGGTGAACAAACCAACCACAATAATTGGATAAATGTTTATTAAATCATTTGGTGACACATTATCGCAGTGGTTTGAACATTGAATGGTTTTTTAATACTTTAATACTGTGACATTAATAAAATATAAATAATTGTAAACAATCATTAATAAATCCTAATGATTTCCGAACTCAAAATCATACCCTTGTTCCTTTGGGAATCCAGTTTCACTATCAAACCAGTTCCAGTTTGTTCAGTTTTTCGTCATCTAAAGAATGCTTCTTACATAAAAAATATCCAGGAAATTATTCTTACAATTGGTATAGAAAATGTACTATAAATTATCTCAAAAACCTGGAAAGAAAAATTTCCAGAACTCAAGAGGTTTATTAAAACATAAATATTCTGGCATTTAGATACTTGAAGTTTAAGGTTATTTGAGGTGTCTGATTTGCTATTACCTCAATAGTAGGCTGTGTGGCTTCTCTCAAGATGCTGTCAATTGCTAATGCTGACCTCCTCACCTTCGCTGTGTTACCTGCAACAGACCACTAGTTATGCATGCATATGTTAAGCATGGGTCGGAAACAGTCCTTTAGGATGGGACTCAACCTTGAGTTCTTGAGAGAAGAGAGGGAGCTGTGGTACATTGGATTGGGGACAAGCAGACAGGTAATGGGGAAGCAAATAGACACCTCGCTAGGGTTGGCCTATACGATCATTGGTTCTGGAATTTGTTTAATTATCATGTATCATTAGAGAGGAACTTGCCAACTCTTATTTTCTACAATTGAGCTATTTGACTCCCCAGAGATTAACACTACTCTAAGGTGAAGGAAAGTGCCCAAGGGTTTTTATGTGGGATATTCCTGACAGTCACCAAATTGCTATTAGAATTCCCTTTAATGTGTTGCCAAATCTCTGGGCAGGTATACAGTCAAGTCTATCACTGTGGCTCTGATATTGTAGCATCTGTATCCAGCTGAAGGAAGCTTCTTTCTCAGTTCTCTACCTGAAGGCAGGTCATGGAAGATTATTTGCCATGCTGCAGCAAAGTATCATGACTTTTACAATGGGTGGGTTGAGGTGACAAGCCCTGAGTGTACCTCAGGCGTAATGGGGGTTGAACCTCATGCTGTTAGCACTGATCTGATCCATACACTCGATATCTAACAGGCCCTTCCCATGCAGGAAGCTCAGGGATAGACTGTGTCTTTGGCGTCGGTGCAGAACAGGTGAAAATGTACAGGAGACATGTTCACATCCCTGAGAGGGAGAGAGAGAGGCTGGTAGCCTCAAACATAAACAAAAAATCACTGGAAATACTCAGCCTGAAACCGATCCCGTTCACAGACCCTTTAGGTTTGGAGAAGCAGGCTGGAAAATAAACTTGTTTCGTAAGATAGAATAATGCCATGGACCCAGGTTCGATTCTACCCTCAGATGACTGTCTGTGTGGAGTTTGCACATTCTCCCTGTGTCTCCTCTGGGTGAATGGTTTTTTTAATACTTTAATACTGTGACATTAATAAAACATAAATAATTGTAAACAATCATTAATAAATCCTAATGATTTAATAGGTTAATAATGGGTTTCCTCTGGGTGCTCCGGTTTCCTCCCACAGTCCAAAGATGTGCAGGGCAGGTGGATTGGCCATGGGAAATTCAGGGTTACAGTGATGGGGTAGGGAGGTGGTTCTGGGTGACATGTTCTTTGGAGGGTTGGTATGGACTTGATGTGTCAAATGGTCTGCTTCCACACTGTAGGGATTCTATGATCCTATTCAATGATGTTCATTTACAGATAACACCATTTCTATACTCGTCTGAGTAACATTCCAATCATATCTGACTTAGTTTGCTTGACATATATGGTTCTAGTGAGAAACGGTTCCTTCTTTAGATGCCAAATGTTGTCAAACTTTTCAGGGAAGTATCGTTAAGAGCTTGATGTAGCAGAGGCTAAAGAAAAAGTACAGCTGAAGGCTGGAAATTGCAGAAAATGCCAGAGATTCAGAGTGGTTGTTTCTGTTGAAAAGACATTCCCAAAACATTAACCTACCTCTCACTTTCAGGTGCTGATTAACATTTGGTGCTTTTACTGTGGATAATTAGTGACCCATATTCCTCTTTGAATGATTTGGAGGCCACTAATTACTTACTGGATACTTGCACTAAGATGCACAGACTACACCTTCACACCTTTCATTTGTACTGGATTAAATACTAAATTTGCTTTTCTGTAGCCCCTTTCAGGACATCAGGATGCCCCGAAGTATTTTACAGCCAAGGCAATGTAACATCGGAAGCAGGGTGGCTAATTTGAGCACAGAAAGCTCCCACAAAAAGCAATGATAATGACCACATAATCTACTTTAATAATGTTGATCGAAGGAGAACTCTCCTTTGAGACAGGGCCGGGTCCACTTGAGAGGTTAGATTATTCAAAGTCTTAGATAAAAACTAACCCTCCTCATGGTGCAGCACTCTCTCAGTGCAGCACTGTCTCAGGTGTGGAGTTTGAACCCCAAACCTCTGACACCAATCTAGAGTACTATGTGCTGAGCCTCAGCTGATTTTAGATGTTGCCCCTTGATCTAATACAAAACCCATCAACTCTAAACCAGGGGCTTTAAGGGACCACATTTTTCCCTTGTAGGCAATAAACTGCAATGGAAGTTGGACACTGCTATATAGCTAAAATACCAAGACAGGTTTGCAACTTAAATCAAACAGTGCACATTTTTAGCTGTAAAAGACTATGTTGCTTTGGGGCAGCAAGATGGCTACATCATTGAGACAACGTGACACTAGGAACTATTGAGTTGAGGAAAATGGTCTGAAAACAGCCCTCAGATTGGTCCACCTGCAGTTTGTTACAGACTTTTGAGGGCAGTGCAACCAGCAACATGCAAAGCCAGCAAACAGGAAACATTTCACTTCCTCTTCTCTGTGTGTGAAATAACAACATACCTTGAGACTCAAAAAAAAAGAACTCTGACACAAGAAAAGACCTAGAACCACCTGAACTCATGTCATCATTGCTAAAATAAAAAGAAGTGTGAGAAATAACTCTCCATCTTGTGGTCTGGACTTTGGATCTACAAAATTTGTTTTCCCCGTCTTTATACTTCTATCCATGAGTTTTTTTTTGTCAAACCATCTGTCTTTGATTTGTCTTTTTTGTGTATGTGTTTGTGTGTGTATGTTTGTTAGAGTTTTTTTTCAGGTCATGCCAGGGATCATCCTCGTGATCTTTTTCTCTCTGCCATTTGTTGAAGAATAAGTTTGTTTATGATAGAGTTATTTTCTCACTAATGACCAAATCTGGTGTTAAACTTGAAAGGGTTCAGACAAGATTTACAAGGATGTTGCCAGGGTTGGAGGGTTTGAGCTATAGGAGAAGTTTAATAGGCTGGTGCAAATTTCCCTGGAGCATCAGAAGCTGAGGGGTGATTTTATAAAGGTGCATAAAATCATGAGGGGCATGGATAGGGTGAATAGCCAAGGTCTTTTTCCCCAGGGTAGGGGAGTCCAAAACTAGAGGACATAGGTTTAAGGTGAGAGAGAAAAGATTTAAAAGAGACCTCAGGGACAACTTTTTCACACAGAGGGTGGTGTGTGTATGGAATAAATTGCCAGAGGAAGTGGTGGGGGCTGGTACAATTACAACATTTAAAAGGCATCTGCATGGGTACATGAATAGGTAGGGCTTAGAGGGATATGGGCCAAATGCTGGCAAATGGGACTAGATTAATTTAGGATATCTGGTCGGCATGGACGAGTTGGAGCAAAGGGTCTGTTTCTGTGCTTACATCTCTATGACTCTTAGACTCTACTGTGAGCAGTTTTGATTCCCTTATTTAAGGAAAGATCGTTGTTTCATTGGAGACAGTTCAGCAGCAGTTCACTAGGATGATCCCTGGTATAAAGGGATTGTCTTATGAGCAAAGATTAAACAGGTTGGGATTCTACTCACTGGAATTTAGAGGAATGAGAGGTGATCTCATTAAAACTTATTGAATTTATAATGGGCTTGACAGGGTAAATGCTGAGAGGATGGTTCCCCTCATCGGGACTCTAGGACCATATGGCATAGTCTCAAAATTTGGGGGCACCAATTTAAGACTCAGCTTAGGAGGAATTTCTCTTCTCAGAGAGTTGAGAGTCTTTGAAGAGCTGCAGGGGCAGCGTCCTTGTGTATGTTTAAGGCTGAGATAGGTAGATTCTTGATCAGTCCAGGAATCCAGGGTAAAGGGGAGAAGACAGTAAAGTGGATGTGAGGAATGTTGGATCAGCCATGATCCTATTGGATGGCACAGCAGGCTTGAGGGCTTGAATGGCCTTCTCCTGTTCCTATTTCTTATGGAATTACTTCCATCCTGAATAGCAATCGTCGTAGGAATTTTTCAAATTGGTGGTTTAATTAGGTAGTTACACATTTGTGATAGTTTGTGGAACAGTGGGGCTTGATTGTCAGCACATGCTTCCCAGTTGAGTGGTAGAAAACACAATCTTATCAGGGTCCCGTTTCTAGCTGCTCCCTAACAACTAGTTAGTTTGTCCCTTGCTGGTTCCATGCCTGTAGCAAAGTGCATGCCGATAAACTTCAGGTGAAGGTGAGGAATTGGAGATCAAGGGCCACATCAGCTGTCACCATTCAATTTGGGAGCAGACCAAAAGCTAAAGGGACTGTACAAAGCATAGTAAATACATAGGGGCAGGACAGAGGTGTTGGTGGGGTCAGGGCAAGAGATATGATGGAAGAGGAGAAAGTTGGAAGAACACCAAAAGTGATGGAACCAGAGCGGTGTGTGTATAATGTACCCTTCTCTGTTGTAGGCTAGTGCAATTCCTTGGAGAAAGCAGTTTCTACTCCATATCTTTTCAGACCAGCATGAAGTGAATTACACTGCAGATCTAGCCTGATAAATATATCAGCTGTTTACTCATGCTTTTGTAATGTGAAATCAGTGTTGGAAATGATGAATCTGTTCTCAATTTTTTTGAACTTGTGTCGACACGCAGGATCACTCAATACTAATTGAGGGAAGGGGGATGTTGACTGAGACCTCAGCTGACTGCAGTGGTCCCTGTGACCCTCAGTATCAGCTCTGTTCAATTCTCAGTGAAAGATGAGGACAGAAGCTGCCAATGCACCATCTTGGATTCCTCCATCTCAGTTGATCAGAAATAAAAGAACAGCATTTGAAGTTGATTCTCATACAAAAAGTCTTGAATGTTCTTTCAGCCAGTTTGGCGTCTTTGTATCTTGGCTAAGGCTCAGTGAATGACATTGCCTTTGGTTTTGTTTTCCATAGACAAGGCTCCAGTCATTATATTGACTTAATCTCCTCTTTGATCTGTCCAATCAGCATTCGAGACAGCACAATTCCTCCGATCTGCAACAACATATCAGAGGAATATTTAACTTCCTGAAAAAATACAATTTCACCCATTGAACCCAAGCCTTCCACATACACACCACTTCAATTCACCTGATGCTCCAGTTGGTAGCCTAAGTCACATCAATGCATTTTATGGTTAAATGTAGGTCTCCCTTGTTGCCCTCGTTGTCATTAAACCTTGCCCTATATACTGGAGAGGAGGTCCTGAGAATGCCCCCTAGAATTGGGAGTTTCTACGGATTTCCAGTTTCCTGAGGGTGTGAGACTTTCTGGGGGAGGTGGGGGTTGAGAATTTTTCTGGTAGTGTGAGGGTTTTTGGGGGAAATAGGAGACTGAGAGTTCCAGACTGTGTTGTTCGATAGTTTCCTGCAGGTAGAAATTGTAGGCACTTACAAGGGGCCTGGTACTTTCTTAGGGGATCGCAAGATTTCAAAGCGTTTGTAGTTGCCTGGGGGTTCAGAAGTTTGCTGGAGATTGAATATTATTTGGGGATGTGAGCATTTGCCCGAGATATGAGAGATTCGTGGAAGTTTGGTAGTCTTTTGGGATTTAACGGTTTCACAAGGGATGCAAAATTTCCTGGTGGCTCGTAGCTTCCTGGAGTTAGAAAGTTCACTGGGGTTTGGAGCCTGGGGAATTGCCACAGTGAATATATACACACATTATTTTCCAAAGAGAGGGAGTGCAGTGGAGGGTCACTGGGCTGATGCCTGAAAATGACAGGACTGTACTATGAAGAAAGATTGGTTGGAATAGACCAATGGTGTTAGAGGCAAGGTGCTAGCATGGATAGGAGATTGGCTGTCTGGCTTAGAAGGAAGAGAATAAATAAGACCATACGACCTAAGACACAGGAGCAGAAATTAGACCATTCAGCCCATCGAGTCTGCTCTGCCATTCAATCATGGCTGATAAGTTCCTCAACCCCATTCTCCCGTTTTCTCCCCGTAACCTTTGATAATCAAGAACCTATCTACCTCAGTCTTAAATGTACTCAATGACCCGGCCTCCACAGCCTTCTGTGCCAGTAAATTCCATAGATTCACCACTCTCTGGCTGAAGAAGTTTCTCCTTATCTCCGTTCTAAAAGGTCTTCCCTTTACTCAAAGGCTGTGCCCTCAGGTCCTGGTCTCTCCTACCAATGGAAGTATCTTCCCAACATCCACTCTGTCCAGACCATTCAGTATTCTGTAAGTTTCAATTAGATCCCCCCTCATCCTTCTAAACTCCAATGAGTATAGTCCCAGAGTCCTCAAACGTTCCTCATATGTTAAGCTTTCCATTCCTGGGACTACTCTAGTGAACCTCCTCTGAACCCACTCCAGGGCCAGTACATTCTTCCTGAGATATGGGGCCCAAAACTGAACGCAATACTCCAACTGTGTCCTGACCAGAGCCTTATAAAGCCTCAGTAGTACATCCCTGCTTTTATATTCAAGTCCTCTCAAAATAAATGCCAACATTGCATTTGCCTTCCTGACTATTGACTCAACCTGCAAGTTTACCTTGAGAGAATCCTGGACTAGAATTCCCAAGTCTCTTTGCACTTCAGACTTCTGAATTTTCTCTCCATTTAGAAAATAGTCCATGCTTTTATTCTTCTTACCAAAGTACATGACCTCACACTTTCCCACGTTGTAGTCCATCTGCCACGTTTTTGCGCACTCTCCTAACCTGTCCAAGTCCTTCTGCAGCCTCCCCACCTCCTCAATACTACCTGTCCCTCCACCTATCTTTGTATCGTCTGCAAACTTAGCCAGAATGCCCACAGTTCCTTCATCTAGATCATTAATGTATAAAGTGAAAAGTTGTGATCCCAACACTGACCTTTGCGGAACTCCACTTGTCACCGGCTGCCATCCTGAGAAAGATCCTTTTATCCCCACTCTGTGCTTTCTGCCAGACAGCTAATCTCCTATCCATGCTAGCACCTTGCCTCTAACACCATGGGCCCTTATCTTACTCAGCAGCCTCCTGTGCGGCACCTTGTCAAAGGCCTTCTTAAAGTCCAGGTAGATAACATCCATTGGCTCTCCTTGGTCTACCCTGCTCATTACTTCCTCAAAGAATTCTAGCAGATTTGTCAGGCATGACCTCCCTTTGATGAAGCCATGCTGACTTTGCCCTATTTTACCTTACACTTCCAAATATTCAGAAATCTGATAGAAAGGTATAAAGTTCTAACAATACTGGACAGACTAGATGCAGGGAGGATGTTTCCCCTGGTTGGGGAGTCTAGAACCAGGGGACACAGTCCCAGGATATGGGGTAGAGTACTTAGCACTGAAATGGGGAAAAAAATGCGTTACTCAATGGGCAGTGAGTCTCTACAATTCTCTACCACAGAAAGGTATGGAGGCCAAGTCATTGAGTATATTCAAGAAAAAGATTCATAATTTTTTTAGATACTAGAGGCATCAAAAGGTGTGGGGAGGAAGCAGGAATATGGCATTGAGATAAAGAATCAGCCATGATCATATTGAATAGCGGAGCTGGCTCGAAGGAACAAATAGCCTAATCTTGGTCCTATTTTTTCTATGAGCTGTGCTGCTTCCTTCCAGCTGGTTCCAGCTGTTGTATTAACAGGTCTCTTGATGCCCTCTTCCATCATTCCATTTTCCTCTACCAGCAGCCCAGCCTAACCTGAATGAGAATACTTCGATCAGTCTGCTGTTTGTACCTGTATGAGCCATGGCTAAAGCAAAGACAGAGAAATACAGACACATGCAGCTATATATGAGTGGTCCCATCCATACAAAGAGTGCCTACCTGTGGCAGTGCCAGCCCAAGGACAATGCCCCCCACCAGCACCAGGTGACTTTCTATCCAGATCGCTGCCTTGTCAGCACAGCCCACCGGGTGCAGGAATTTAGAAGCTTCCAGTTGGTTTAGCGATTGTTTACCAAAGCCGCACATTGTATTGATCACTGACTGGAGGCAGAGGGAGATGATAAGGAACAAATAAAGCAGGTGACAGACATTTTCACAGTGGTGTGCCTGGGGGCCCCAACGTGCAGCTGGAGAATGGGGGTGAGGGGGCAAATCTCCCAGCAGGCATTACTAATCTCAGGTACACCTGAACAGGTTAATGGCTATTAAACTGGAGCTGACTTTGGAAAAGTGCTATTCTCAAGCATGTAGTATTTCAATCCACTGGTCACTCTGGTGGATTTACAAGGTCAGAATCACTAAAACTGTAGAAATAAACTTTTATCCAACTCAAGCACCTAACATCCAAATCAAGTCCAGTGTAAAAGCAAAACATGTTCCTGTGGTGAAGTGGTAGGGTCCCTACCAGAAACCCCAGGCTCAGGTCCCGCTTACTCCAGAGGTGTGTCATAACATTTATGATATTTTGACTTAAAATATACAAAAGCAAAACAGTGATTGCTGGAGATCTGACATCAAAACAAAAAAATGCCACAAATAATCAGCAAGTCACATAGCATCTGTGGAGAGAGACAGAGTTAACATTTCAATCTGTGACCTATCAACTGAAGAATTCTTTAAACTTGCGCCTTTAAATAATAACTGAGGCAAAATAACCGAGCTGTCATCTCCAAGAATCAAACCCAGCAACACTCAGAGACTGGGAGATGGGTTAAAAACATTTTATTTTAAAAAAATGCTGTGCCTTTTCTTTTTTTCTTCATTTTCTGCTATTATATTCCACGCTTTGGTTTATTTTTCTGTGTTTTAAGATGGCACTGGAGATTGGTGAACTAGACAACACTTTTCACAGTATTTTGTAATGAGATACACATGACAATAAATAAATCAAATCTAATATCTCGAATGGCTTACCTCACCAGGTATCAGTGTGCAGCAGGAGTAAGGCACACCACAGCGTTCAGGGCTGGGATTGTTAGGGGTACAGTTGAAATACATGTTCTTTGACCAATCTTTGTAGCTGTTCCAACCACAGCATTGAAACTGTGAGAAGGTAAAGGAAGGTAGATTTTACAGGCTGTCCATTATCTTAAGATCGTCATTAACACTATTTCAATAAACATTTCTGTGTGCATATATTACAAATATATATCTATATTAACAGCAGTTAAAAAAGCTGCAAGGTAAAAGCATTATGAACACGTGCATAAACATATGTCTAATAGACTGCACGTAACAGAGTCACTATTTCCAACCAGGATGGAGGTGATTACACTGTGTCTCTATTCTTTCACAGGTTGAGGGTGTTTCTGGCATTTATTGCCCATTCCTGCCTCACCTTAAACTGAGTGACCTGTCAAGCCATGTGAGAGGGTACATTATAGTCAAAGACATTACTATGGATCTGGAGCTTCATGCAGGCCATGTCAGTAGAAGGAGGAATGGAGACAGGTGAAAAGGAAAGTTGAAGATGGCAAGAAGAATGGTCAGAGAAGGGGAGAAGGAGGGTCAGAAACGGGGAGAGGAAGGGTCAGAGACTAGGGGAGGAAAGGTCAGAGACAGGGAAAAGGAGGGTCAAAGACAAGGAGAAGGTTAGAAACAGGAAGAAGGGTCTGAGATAGTGAAACTAGATTATAAGATGGTACAGCCACTGTAACCTGCTCCAGAGGTAGACAGGAGACAGGAACTGAAAGACACTATTGATGGTAGACACAAGAAGTGGTGAAATGGGAGTGAAAACACCACCAGGGAAATTATCATCATTTTAGAGAAGAAAGCCAGCTTATTGAAGGTATTGCATCATATGGGTTGTTTGTGAAACTATGATGGGTTCGATAGTGCAGCGATTCACTCATTTTGTAAAGAGTAAGGGAGAACAAGACAAAGCACTGAAGAACTGATTGGATCGAACCAGGTTGGGCAGCAACCTGGATTGGAAATATTCAGGATTTAAGGGCACATCCTCCTGTTTCTTTGTTTGTAAATATTCATATAGCCTGTAACTGTTTGAATTTTAGAATCTATGAATGTAATGTAGGCTATTTTCAACTATTGCTTTCTGTGTGAGAAGCAGCAAGGACCAAGTGAGATCATTGGGATCTCTTTTGGACTAGAGGTGACCTGTACAAGAGGGACGGGTTGCACTTGAACTGGAGGGGGTCCAGTATCCTCGTGGGGAGATTTTCTGGAGTTACCCGCAAGAGTTAAACTAGTTTGGCTGGGAGTTGGCGGGGGGGGGGGGGAGGGGTTGGTGGGGGGGGTGGGTGGGACTCTGAATAAGAGAGGGGCCATCAAGAAGTCAGGGGAAAATACGTTAGCCACCGAGAGCAAGTTTACTATTCAGGATCACCAGGGGCAGAGTAAAGGAGGGAAAAGACTTCTGGTTTAAAATGCATTTATTTCAATGCATGAGACCTGACTGGTAAGACAGATGAACTCAGAGCATGGATTGGCTCTGGGGACTGGAATATTATAGCCATAACAGAAACATGGCTGAGAGAAGGGCAGGGCTGGCAGCTCAATGTTCCAGGATACAGAAGATATAGGCGTGATAGGAGTACAAGTAAGCAAGGAGGGGTGTTGCCCTTTTTGATAAGGGAGGACATAACAACAGTGCTTAGAGAGGATAATCTTAAGGAATCATCAAATGAAGCCATATGGTTAGAACGTAGAAACAAGAAGGGGACGGTCACTCTGTTGGGACTGTATTATAGACGCCCAAATTAGCCAGCGGGTACTAGAGGAGCAGATGTTCAAACAGATTGCAGATACCTGGAGTAATAACAGAGTTGTATTAGTTAAAAGATTTTAATTTCCCCTGTACTGACTCGGCCACCCAGAGTGTAAAAGGCCCGGACGGAGTAGAATTTGTGAAATGTGTCCAAGAAAGTTTTCAAAATCACTATGCAGGGGGCCCTACTCTGGAGGGTGCAACACTGGACCTCATCTTAGGAAATGAGATCGGGAAAGTGACTGAAGTGTCAGTCAGAGGGCAGTGTGGGTCCAGTGACCATAACTCTCTTAGTTTTAGCATAGTTAAGGAAAAAGATAGGACAGGTCCACAGGTTAAGGTGCTGAACTGGAGCAGGGCCAATTTTGGGGCCATTAGGCAGGATCTAGTAGAGATTGATTGGGTGAGTCTGTTTGAAGGAAAAGGAATGTCTGGCAAGTGGGAGGCTTTTGAAAGTGCGATTTCAAGAGTCCAGGGACAGTATGTCCCTGTTAGAGTGGAGGGAAAAGCTGGCAGGTTTATGGATCCCTGGCTGACAAGGGATATTGAGGCTCTGGTCAGGAAAAAGAAGAAGGCATACATTGGGTTCAAGCTATTGGGCTCAAGTGAATCCCTAGATCACTATAAAAAGTGTAGGAGCACACTTAGAGGGAAATGAGAAGAGCAAAAGAGGGTATGAGATGGATCTGGCAGATAAGGTTAAAGATAATTCCATTGGTTCTATAGCTATATTAAGAGTAAGAGGGTGGCTAGGGAGAGAATAGGTCCCCTTAAAGATCAGCATGGCCGTCTATGTATGGAGCCACAGGAGATGGGGGAGATTTTTAATGAATATTTCTCCTCAGTATTTGCTGAGGAGAGAATCATGGATGCTAAGGAAAGAAGGGAAACTAGTGGGGATGATTTGGACTACATACACATTACCAGAGAGGAGGTTTTTGTAGCCTTAAAGTGCATTAAGGTGGATAAATCTCTTGGGCCTGATCAAGTCCATCCTTGGATGATGTGGGAGGCTAGGGAAGAAATTGCAGAGGCCCTTGCAGAGATTTTTGCTTCATCTTTAGCCACTGGTGAAGTTCCAGACGACTGGAGGGTGGCTAATGTTGTTCCATTGTTTAAGAAACATAGCAAAGACAAGCCAGGGAACTACAGGCCAGTGAGCCTGACATCATTGGTAGGCAAGTTATTGGAGGGGATACTGAGGGACAGGGTCAACCAACATTTGGATAGTCAAGGTCTGATCAGGGATAGTCAGCATAGATTTGTGTGCGGGAAGTCATGTCTGACAAAAATTAAAGTTTTTCAAAGAGGTAACCAAGAGGATGTATAAGGATAGGGCAGTGGATGTTGTCTATATGGACTTTAGTAAGGCCTTTGACAAGGTCCCGCAAGGCAAGCTAGTCATGAAAGTTAGGTTGTATGGGATCCAGGGAGCGCTAGCTAATTGGATTCATAATTGGCTCGATGGTAGAAAGTAGAGGGTGATGGTTGGAGGTTGTTTCTCGGATTGGAGGCTTGTAACTAGCGGTGTGCCACAGGGGTCGATGCTGGGACCTTTGTTATTTGTTATTTACATAATTAATCTGGATTTGAATGTACAAGGCATGATTAGTAAGTTTGCAGATGATACAAAATTAGAAGGTATTATTGATAGCAAAGAAGATTATCAAAAATTACAGGGGGATCTTGATCAGATGGGGAAGTGGGCTGAGGATTGGCAAATGTAATTCAATACAGATAAGTGTGAGATGTTGCACTTTGGAAAGTCAAACCAAGGTAGGACTTATACAGTAATGGTAAGGTCCCAAGGAGTGTTGTGGAACAGAGGGACCCAGGGGTACACATACATAGTTCATTGAAGGCAGCATCACAGATGCACAGGGTGGTGAAGAAGGCATTTAGCATGCTGGCCTTCATCAGTCGAGGCGCTAAGTATAGGAGTTGAGACATTATGTTACAGTTGTTGGTGAAGCTGCACTTGGAGTATTATGTACAGCTTTGATCATCCTTTTGTAGGAAAATCATAATTAAACTGGAAAGTGTGCAAAGAAAATTTACGAGGATGTTGCCAGGACTAATAGGCCTGAGTTATAGGGAGAGGTTGGCCAGGATAGGGCTTTATTCCTTAGAATGTAGGAGAATGAGTGGTGACTTTATTGAGGTGTATGAAATCATGAGGGGCATAGATAGGATGAATGCATATAGTCTTTTTCCCAGGGATGGGGAATTGAAAACTAGAGGATGTAGGTTTAAGGTGAGAGGGGAAAGATTTAAGGAGGACCTGAGGAGCAACTTCTTCACACAGAGAGTGGTGCGTATAAGGAATGGGCTGCCAGAGAAAGTGGTTGAGGCAGGTACAAGAGCAACATTTAAAAAAACATTAGGATAGATACATGGATGGGAAGGGTTTAGAGGGATACGGACCAAATGCAAGCAATTGGAGCTAGCTGAGTGGGCACCATATTCAGCATGGACCAGTTTGGGCTGAAGGGCCTGTTTCCATGCTGTATTACTCTATGACTCTAAGTGGAAATCATCCCCAGTGAATCAATTAGAGTCCAGATAAAACACCACACAGAAAGAAATATACAGAAGATCAATGCTTTTATCTCAGTGAATGTAGTTGGAGCCATTACCTCTCTCTGGATGTAATCAATCAGATTCTGCAGGTCAATGTCATCTCTATAATGGACAATGGCTTTCTTGATAAATTTACTCACTGTGTCTTCAGCCTAGAAGGAGAACAAAAGATCAAAGTGATTGATGAGACAGAGTACAATGAAACAGTGCATTGAAATTTGGCACGGGGGGTTTATGTAGATGTGCCTTTGAATCTCAGAAGCAGCAATCCAGCTTCTTCAACAGCTCCAGCTGACTGGGACGTCTGCAGTTTCAAGTTAAAAGTCAAGTAGCAGTGTACGGGAACAGTTGATTCAACAAGGGGGCACTCTCAGCTCTGAGATAGAATGTCGGGAGTTTGAGGCCCACGCCAGACACTAAACCGCAAAATCTAGCCGGCATGTCGGTTTAGTGCTCTACTGTCAGAAGTGTTGTCTTTTAGAATCAATCATAGAATCCCTACAGTGTGGAAACAGGCCATTCGGCCCATCAAGTCCACACCAACCCTCCAAAGAGCATCAGACCCAGACCCATCCACCCACCATTTCCTTGTAACCCTGCATCTCCTATGGCCAACCCACCTAGCCTGCACATCTTTGGATAGTGGGAGGAAACCGGAGCACCCGGAGGAAACTCACGCAGACATGGGGAGAATGTGAAAGCTCCACACAAACAGTCACCTGAGGGTGGAATCGAACCCGGGTCTCTGGCGCCGTGAGACAGCAATGCTAACCTCTGAGCTACCAAGCCGGTCCAGATGAGACTTTAAATTGTTTGTAACATTTATGTATTTAGGTGTAACCTGCAGTGCCAAGGCATACAAGGTTTTGGCCAAATACTGGAAAATGGTATTAGAATAGTTAGGTGTTTGGTTTTGACTGGCGCAGACTTGATGGGCCGAAGGACTTTTTTCTGTGCTGTGAACCACTAGTACTAATAACAGCCAGATGGACCTCATAGAATATGAGTTCCCTGATTGGGGCTGACTGATCATCTCGGGGGTTTTGTTGGCTCTGAGAACTGGCTCTGAGGAAGACAAACCAGTGTCAAGTCCTATGCACGTGGAAATAAAGGTTGACTTAGTGACATGATAATGGCCTCTGTAGAGTTATTTCAACAATGACTATGAGATTTTGTCTGCCCACCACACCCCCCACCGACCCCACCCCTCACCCCCAACCCCACCCTGACCCCCTGCAATGTTCTCTAAGCTGCTTGGCTGTGCCTTTACACAGGCCCTCTGATGTTCCACAATAATCGCACATTGGCACACCTATTGCGCATAAACTTCTAAATCCAGAAATCACTGCCATGCTCGGGTCTAGGAAGCCTGTGTGGTCAGTAAGAAAATTAGAGGGAACAGTGACCCTTGCATTATGGCACAATGCTGTTTTGAAGAGCACAGAGTTCCAAGGGAAGATCAATACATCACATGTAATCTTCCACCTCCTTTCTTTCCAGACTATAAATGAGTTTAGATCATCATATTCCTCCTGAGGGACATCAGGAGGGTACCCTTGTTCTTCTTTGAATTAAATTTTTGGATCTCGATGTATCGTTTAACGTCTCATCCTAAAAGTGGCACATCCAGCAATGTAGCACTGCCTCAGTAGTGCATTGACAGGTCAGCTTAGAATAAGTGCTCAAGTCCAGAAATGTATTTTGATTCCTCCAACACTGAGGCTTGTTTGCAATGTGCTGAGTTGCAGAAAAAAAACACTTCCAATTCAGGTTACCAGACTGATTCCTGGGGTGGCAGGACTGATGGATGAGGAGGGATTGGATCAGTTAGGATTATGTTCACTGACATTTAAAAAAGTTAAGGGGGAGGGATTCTTATAGATACCTGTAAAATTCTAACAGGACGAGGCAGGGTAAATGCAGGAAAGATGTTCCTGATGACCAGAGAGTCCAGAACCAGGGGTCACAGTTTAAGGATACGGGGTAGGTCATTTAGGACTGAGATGAGGAGAAAGGTCTTCACTTAGAGAGTGAGGAGCCTGTGAAATTCTCTGCCACAGAATGCAGTTGAGACCAAAACATTGAATGTTTTCGAGAAGGAGTTAGATATAGTTCTTAGGGCTAAAGGGATCAAAGGATATGGGGAGAAAGTGGGAACGGGGGACTGAGTTGAATGATCAACCATGATCATATTGAATGGGTTGAGCAGTCTCGAGGGGCCGAATGGCTTCCTTGTCCTCCTATTTTCTATGTTACATGCTAGGTCCAAGCAGCTGGTTGAGGTAGTGATACCTCACTGAAGTGCCATCCTAGAGTGTGTACATAAAGCCGAGAACAGGACTGAACCGTCAACTCATTGGCATACATGTGAGAGCATGCAATGATTAGGCGTGAGCTGACACCTGTTATAAAACACCAAAGTTAGCTGCTATCATCCATTGCTCCTATCCAGGGATTCCTGCTGGAAGTACATTTGTGTGCAGAGGATTGAACTCTGCTGTGACAACCCCCATGCAAATGCTGCATCAGTACTCATTCTGTATAAGATCAAAATTTTCCTCAATTGTTTGTTCTGATCGCAAGATAACTCATTACATAGATCTGAAATATGTAGAATTTGCAGAACAGGTCAATTGCTCCAAGAGATCTATGCTGGTGGTCATGTCCCCCTTTAAGCTTTTAATCACTATTTCATCTAACCGTATCAATGTGCTCTTCCTCTCACTTCTCCAGTGTCCTTCCAGTCTCCATTAAATGCATCTATATCATTCACTACAGCCAATCACTGTGGAAGTGGGTCCACATTCTAGCCACTCTCTGGGTAAAGACATTTCTCTAGAATTTGCCATTGCATTTATCAATAACCACCCCCAGTTGTGGATTCCACCCACAAGTGGAAATATCTTCTGTATAATTACCCTTTTAAACATCTTGATAACATTTGAAAACCTACCTCAGCTTCCTCTCTTCTAGAGAATGTCCAACCTTTCCATTTTCTATCAATTATAGATGGTAAATGAATCAGGAAAGACACACAGTTTTGGTTAAGAGCTTAGTGCGGAGTATGATGAAACAAATCTATGAGACCCTTTCTTCAGATGAGAACTGAGGCAGGATAGCTGCAGTTATTGAGCGTGAGATTTTTCATGCATCCCTCAGAAAAAGTGAGGCATGGAATACAATGTCATTGAACTCAAAGGGCACTTAGAAAACATTTGACTGCCCATATTAGTCAGTCCACCCCTAGATTTGGGATGGACGCACTACTTTCCTGTTCCCTCTGGAAATACCTTGTCTGAATAGACGAATCCCAGGACTCCGACAGCCAACTGTACCAAGAATAGGATGGTCAAGCTCACCGAAAACTGTGAAGAAAATAAGCCAAGACAAAGCTGTGTTTGTGATATAACAATGAGAGTAATACTGACTATTGTTAAGGCAAATGACTTAGTAATCTCTCTGCTGTCCTGATACACCAACAGTTTTAACAGCTACTGACAGACCTTGTGGAGAATTGTGGAACTGGCTCAGAAAGTTATGCTATCTGCAATGAATTAGACAACTGTGGGATTTTAAATGGTCACGCATTATGGGGCATATATTGGTGTTACTCAGAAAAAAAACCTCCATCATGTATTGTAACATTGATCTGAAATCTTCCCTTTCTGCTTGGTGGGGTACGGTTGGCACAAAAGGCTGGGAAAATATCATAACTATCAATCTGTGGAATATGCTTGTCGTCAAAATCCATATCAAAATCAAAACCTCCTGGTGTTTATGCAATGTATTTTGCTCCAGGTTATGCACTTTGGCAGGAAGAATAAAAGAGCTGATTATTACTTAGATTGGAAAAGACCGCAGAAAACTACAGCACAGAAGGATTTGAGGGTCCTTGTGCAAGCATCACAAAAAACCAGCTTCCAAGTTCAGTGGGTAACAGGGAAGGCAAATGGAATGTAGGCCTTTAATTTCAAAGGGAATGGAATGCAAAACCAGGAGGGTTTGCTAAAACTATACAAGGCACTATTCAGACCACAGTTCGAATACTATGAACAGTTTTGGTCCCTTTATCTAAGGAAAGATATACTGGCATTGGAAACAGTCCAGAGAACGTTCACTTAGTTTATTCTGGTTATAGGTGGATTTTTTTTTTGAGGAAAGGCTGAGTAGGTTGGGCTTATACTCATTAGTGTTCAGAAGAATGAGTGGCGACCTTATTGAAACATGTAAGATTCTTCGGGGGCTTGACAGACTAGATACTGAGAGGTTGGTTTCCCCTTGAGGGAGAGTCTAGAACCAGAGGGCGTAACCTCAGAATAAGAGGTCACCCATTTAAGGAAGAGATGAGGAGGAATTCTTTTCATTCCAATGGTAGTGAATCTATGGGATTCTTTACCGCAGAGGCCTGGTGAGGTTGGGATCATTTATGTCTTCCCAAGAGGACAGACGTGGCCTTGGTTTAATGTCTCATCTGAAAGATAGCAGGGTAGAGATGAAACATAGATAGTA